ACTTTTTACAATTATCGTGATGAAAAGGACACTTATTTAGCTTAGCTTTATAAGTAGATTTGTTCTGATAAACTTTATAGAATCTCAGTAAATAGTTATGTCTAACTATTACTTTTCTTACCATTTTGTAGATATTTTCATAAATCTTTGTCTAGAGCTTGTTTCTTGCTGGTTTGGAACGTAATGCATAAAACATTGTGGTTTTAGAGTAAACTTCTAAACGAATTTCTTTATATGTAAATCAAAATGTCTGCAACGATTATCTTGCACAGAGTTCTAATTCATGCTGATATTGTCTAAGAAGTCCAACTCAAATGGCGTTGATTGTTAGAAAATACAATGAATAGAAGATGTCAACATGTGGCCAAATAATCACTCCCTTCATAAAATTGGTGCAATATAGGGTCAATAACATTGAGAGTAAATGTCTGGAATTAGAATGTTTTGTAACACAGACACACACACATGCATATATTCATTATGTATACATATACTAATTTGGAATGACATCGGAAATATACGATAATATATTGTACTAAAATCATGAAGTCAGAAGTTCTATTTCCATATCTTTTAAAATTTCAAAACCAGTTTATTACACTATAACAACTAAATTAATTAATTCACCAATATACAATTTCACACACGAATTAATTTAGTTTATAAACTATAGTGTGCAGTTCTTGTAGTTTAATCATACAAATCGTACTTTACAAAACATTTTATATACCCTAGTTAGTTATAACAAGACATATATCATCTAAACTTTGTATTCTTTATTCTTTACATCCCAGGTATATTTTTATACATAATGAAAGTTAGTTTATTTACATTAGATCTTGACTTTTTGAAAGTCTAATTTTGTTAATTTTAAATATTAACAAGCTTCTGATCCCATGTTATGATATATAATTGTTTATTTATGATCATATTTTGATGTTTCAGACTCAAAAGATGTAATTTTTTGTATTTTTCCTCACATAGATTTTGAAACAATGTTATGGTAACAGGTATTATCTTTTCACTTACAAATTGTACAAATCCTCAGTTACAAATCAGTGTTCATGCTAAAGATCCAATGCCTGATAGTTACATGTCTAGCTTAGTCCTTTATGATAAATTACACACCATGAATATCAGTTTCTAACAAGTCTGTTTGAACATCTAATACAAGTCTCCATTTATATTTGTTTTAAAAATGTCATTTGTGTCGTAGCCCAATATACTACCATTACTATATTTAGTAAAATCACACACTTAACAAGCATACAGAAACAATTAATTAATTAACAAAACTTTAAGATATTCTGAATGAATCTAAGTTTCAAATGGACAGCAACTGCCTGTTGTGGAACCTACAAAAGTAGAGGACGACGTTTCGAAAGTCTTCCGCCTTTCGTCTTCAGGTATTATATTCACATAATCGTCTTAGTTTATAAGACACTGATGTACAACCTAATGTAATAATGCTGCTGTATATACGTATTCTAGCATGTTATTAATGGAATAGAATAAACCAACATAAACAAAACATAGTAGTTTATATATATATCAACAAATATAATGCTATTAAATACATTAATTGTCCATAGGCGATTAAAATCAGCACTATAAAGTAATAATGAACTTCATACGAAACAAAAACAACATCATAATGTGACGAAAATTCAGAACTATTCTTCCATTATTTTACTGATTCGAATTAATGCAATCATAGAAAGTTTCTTTATTTTAGAAACTCTAAACAAAATATCACACACTTGAAATCCATAACTGAATTGACTGTCATGTTGAACATTAGCTCTTAACCCTCGCATTAACCATCCCATACAGCTTACATCTGACGTGTTTCACAATAGCCTAATATGCTATCATCAATACATGTAAGTGAAATCACAGACTTGTCAAGTATCACACAAACAGCTTGTTAATATTTAACAATAACAAAATTAGACTTTGAAAAAGTCAAGATCTAATGTAAGCAAACTAACTTTCATGAATTCTGAGAAAACGAATGCATTTAAAGGAGTGCTATGTCTAAACATATAAATATAATAATGAAAGACGCAAAATTCAGATGATATATGTCCTCCTGTTAAAACTGACTAGTGTATATAAAATATTTTGCTGTAAAGTACGATTCATACTGTTGAAATACAAGAATTGCACATTATCGTTCATAAACTAAGTTCATTCATGTGTGAAATTATATATTGGTGAACTAATATGTTTAATTGTTATAGTGTCCATAAAATGGTTTTTAAATTTTTAAAGATATGGAAATAGAACTTCTGACTTGTCAACACTGTTTAACGTAATATATGTTTGAAAGTGTCGTGACTTTAGTTCGATATATTCTCGTATATTTCCAATATCATTACAAACTAACTTTCATGAATTATGAGAAAAATAATGCATTTAAAAGAGTGCTATGTATAAACATGTATGTAAGTAATGAAAGACACAAAAACGTAATTGTCCATAGGCGATTAAAATCAGCACTATAAAACAATAACGAACTTCATACAAAAGAAAAACAACATTATAATGAGACCGAAATTCAGGACTATTCTTCCATTACCAGTTCTCTTTGTCATTCTTAAGGTATAATGGATAATGTTGGTGGCGATAGCGTCCAAATAGGGATAATCCACCTATCAGACATGATCACGACGCCAATGTCAAACTCGCCAGTAACTAAAGAGAATCAGTTACTGTCTGCAGCCAGTTGTGGGTAGGCAGTTACCCTTAATATTTCGATATAACCTTAAAGTAGAATTAAACTGCCCTAAAATTCTACAATGTAAAACTCCCAACCTCCACCCTTTTCTTTAACTCATAAGACATAAAAAGCAAAATATATTCTTTTGGTCGCATGATAATGTTGTTTTTGTTTTTAATATTTATATGCGTGCATGCACATATGTGTGTGTGTGCATTACAAAACTTTCTAATTTCAGACATTTACTTTCAATGTACCAGTTTTAAGAAAGGACTGGTCGTTTGGCCACATGACGACCTCTCCTGTTCTTTGTATTTCCTAACAATCAAAGTTTATGAATGTTAAAAGAGTTGGATCTCTTTGACAGTATTAGCTTGAATTAAAGATCTGTGCAAGATAATCGTCGCAGACGTTTTGATTTATTCATAAAGAAATTTGTTAAGAAGTTTTACTCTAAAACCACAACTTTTATGCATAAAGTTCCAAACCAGCAAGAAACAAGCTCTAGACAAAGATTTGTTAAAATATCTATAGAAAGGTAAGAAAAATAATGGTTAGACATAACTTAGATCCTATAAACTTTAGTAGAACAAATCTACTTATAAAGCTAAGCTAAATAAGTGTCCTTTTCAGGACGATAATTGTAAAAGGTATGTTATGAAAATCAAATATAGAAGTGAAAACTATACTACAGTATGTTAAATGTGTATTAAATCATAAAAAACACAATTGGCTATACTAACTTTCTCGTCCAATATTTATAAAAACGAGACATTAGGTGTGATAAAACTTTTCAGCAGAATATTAAATGTGTTAGTAACACTACCCGCCTATAGAAATACATTTAATACAGTTAAATATATAAATGAAAACTATAAGTTGAGACAAGTTGAAACCTGTATGTAATCCTACAGAAGTATAATAACATTGTCTGTCTATAGAAACACAATCTGCCTTTGTAATACAAATAAATATATAAGTGAAAACCATAAAGTAATTGTCAACATGTGTAAAATGAAATATTTTGTCAAGAACTTATTTACTGTTAGACACAATACAAATCATAGTTATAGAGGTAGATGAAGATCAAAGGAATATATTTAACCCATAAGGCCAAACTAGTGAAATAGTAAGGTTGTATGTTAAATTATTACATGATATTTAGATATGTCACGACAAATATGTTCTTTTCAAACAGGTATTTGCAAATAAAGTTAAATACTATTCATTAATCAATCATCCTACAAGCTATGGTAATATTGTCCTTAATAGTATCTGTCTATAGTAACACTATCCTATGAAACATTTTGTCAAGAACTCAATTATTGTTAAACACAATACATGGAAATACAATCGATAAAGAATATAAACATTGCTGACATGTTGACACAACCTACGATTAGCTCATCATCCTATTGACCTATCCGCCTATACCAACACCATTCTTAGTAACACGTATTTAATGTTTTACTTATAAAGCAAAACTGTAATTGGGATAACAAACGTTTCAGTATTGATAATTGTAAACACTATGTTATTCAAATTAGATTAAATTATTAATTTTAAGACTTTGATTGTTGCTATAAAGTTGATGTCATTTTGATTTACATCACCCTCTGATGGTTCGCTCGAGAACTATCTATGTGATCATCATACCCACACGCCCTCTGGTGCCACTTCGTGGAACTATGACCCTTGCAGCGCGATCTCTGGTGCCTATTGCATACCAGTTACGTGACCCTCAGGTGTTGACATAACTTATATATTACGTAATAGTTGTGTAACCTTCATACGGCATCCTTTGATTTCCACTCATCTGGTGACTCCCCCCCCCCCCCCCTCGAGATGGTCATCCTTTGGGTACCCAAGTATAGGGTAACTACTCACAATAGGATTTCTTTGCTCTACTCAACTTAGATATCGAAATTAGATTTTTAGGCTATTACTAAGTGAACGATATCATTTTATTTCTGAGAAACAGCAAACCTTAAGGCTATTTTAGGCACTACAACTTTATTCTAATATGATATTCGGATTCATCTTTTTTTAGCATTAACATAATGATTTACTATGACTCGAGACTTATCTAAAGTGCAAGTAAAAGAATGTGAATACCTTATGTCTGTTAAACACTGGTTGTTCTATGTTTGCATGGTTAACTTGAAAGATGTTTACTGATTAACAGAAAACGTATGATAGACAACAGAACATGTAACCTTCACTATATGAATTTTGAGCCACAAGACCATTTCATAAATTGCTTCTAGTTAATACTTACGAATATAGGAGCCAACATTGCGCCAGGTATAATTACCTGACCTCTTCTGGAAATTGAAGATACTATATCTGGGTGGAGCGTCACCACTCGGAAGAAATCGGAAAGTCTTACCATTTTCATCTAAACACATAAAAAATGAAAAATAATTTAAAGTTTTCAGAAGAAAAGCCTGCATTTCAGAAAATGGCTTACCATAAACCTTACTAATAACCATAAACACTACTATTAATAATAAATATTACTACTAACCATAAACATTACTGCTAACCATAAACATTACTACTAACTACAAACATAGCTACTAACCATAAACATTACTGCGAACCATAACCATTACTACTAATTATAAATATTTCTAAACCATAAACATTGCTACTAACCATAAACATTTCTATTAACCATAAACATTGCTACTAACCATAAACATTTCTACTAACCATAAACATTGCTGCTAACCATAAACATTACTACTAACTACAAACATAGCTACTAACCATAAACATTACTGCTAACCATAAGCATTACTACTAACTGTAAACGTTACTACTAACCATAAACATTGCTACTAACTGTAAACGTTACTACTAACCATAAACATTGCTACTAACTGTAAACGTTACTACTAACCATAAACATTGCTACTAACAATAAACATTTCTATTAACCATAAACACTGCTTCTAAACATTAGCATTGTTACAAATCATAAACATTGGTATACACTGAAATCTGTCATTTTCGTTCAAAGTTATTGTTCTTTATAAAAGGAAAAGGCCTGACAAAATGAACAAAATATTTTATTGGTTATACTAATTTATATTAAAGGAAACCATCTTTCCAGTGTTCACATAAGGTAACTTAACAATAATCAATCCAAAATATCCACCAGGTAGCTCCTTATATTACCGCGAACTAAATCATTCCAAGGGAAACCGAGGTGATATAGCTAGATTGTTTGTTTGTTTGTTTTGAATTTCGCGCAAAGCTACACGAGGGCTATGTGCGTTAGCCGTCACTAATTTAGCAGTGTAAGACTAGAGGGAAGGCAGCTAGTCATCACCACCCACCGCCAACTTTTGGGCTGCTCTTTTACCAACGAATAGTGGGATTGACCGTCACTTTATAACGCCCCCACGGCTGAAAGGGCAAGCATGTTTGGTGTGACGGGGATTAGAACTCGCGACCCGCAGATTGTGAGTCGAGCGCCCTAACCACCTGGCCATGCCGGGCCTGATATAGCTAGACGGAAGACTAATTGCAACACAGCGCTGTACTGAAGAACACCATGTTTTATAGGATTTTCAATCCTTCTTTAGTCAAGCATTTAACATATGTAAAGATTTTAAAGATGAATCACCAAATGTCTGTTTCAATGAGTTTAATGTGTAAAGATTTCGAATGGTAATACATAATTTTCAAATGACAAACAAATGGAAGAACTTGATGCAGTCCATCACTAAAGGTTGTCGTTCTTGTTCACTGAGATGGCTTTACTTTTATCATCTTGAAGTTTATCAGTTATATAATTATATTCCAATTCAGCATATTCCTTTAAAAGCACGGAAGACTAACGTGATTTTATGATTCTAAATACACAATGTTTAATATTAACGGATAGAGGTTTGAACATCATATAGGGAGTGTTATATTCAATTCCTCAAGCGTATTTTATTTTCATCCTAAGTTTGTTGAAAATCAGCATATGTGGCTTCACAGAGACACTCAAAAACGCACATCTCTCTGTAACTGTTCCGTGTATTTTTAATTTAAGTACCTTTAAAGTAAAATACATTAGAAGAGAGACAGTCAAACACTATCATTATTTTTCGTCAGTCATAAATTCAACTACGACAGTTCTTTGAAAGTTAATTTTAAGAAACTAAACTTTAAAACGTACATTTGCACCTAACAATGTTAAACCTAAACAAACCTAAAAAAAGAGGGTAGAACAAGGTGATCGTACTCATAGAGTATTATATTTTATGCCAAAAACAATTTAGATTCATGAACTTGCAAAAAAACTGTGTCTGGAGGGATTTTTATAATTATAATGTCCAGTCACCAAACAGTGTAAGGTAATAATAACATATTTTCGCCAGCCGTCCCTAACTGTGAACTGATATTTAGACGGTTTGAATTTCGCGCAAAGCTACACAAGGGCTATCTGCCCTAGTCGTCCCCAATTTAGCAGTGTAAGACTAGAGGGAAGGCAGCTAGTCGTCAACACTCACCGCCAACTCTTGGGCTACGCTTTTACCAACGAATTGGTATTGACCGTCACATTATAATGCCCCCACGGCTGAAAGGGCGTTGGTGTGACGGGGATTCGAACCCGCGACCCTCAGATTGCGAGTCGAGCGCCCTAACCACCTGGCCATGCCGGGCCTGATATAGCTAGACGGAAGGCAGCTAGTAAACAGAACACACCATCAACTCTTTGGCTACTCTTATCTGATCGAATAGTAAGATTTGACTGTCATCCGTACAAGTGCAGAGTGTTATTATAATAAAAGTTTCAGTGGCGGAACGCGAACATTGGACCTGCAGGTCCATAGTCTGGCACGCTTACCACTGGTGCTTGGTAAACGAACGTGTTAAGGATGATGTATAGTAGGATTATTCTAAGTATCACGTACGTGCAAATGAAACACTAATGATATCTGCTTCACTCTTCAGTACGTATTTATCTACGAAAATCCATACGGGGGGGGGGGAGCTTCACTGCGTAGCTTCCGCAAGTGGGAATCGAAACTGCATTCATTTCGGTGTAGTATTATAAAATATTTATATAAATTATTTATTTTGAAAGGATAGGATAACCACTGATGTATTCAACTTGTTTGTTCGCACTTTAGACGAAATTTCTTTCATCAAAATAGTTCTAAAAAAAAACTTGTATCACTTTATTAAATAGATTCAGAAACAAATACAAAATTTTCTCATCATATTAATATAGAGAATAACAAAGACTATTAAACTCTAAAGTTACCGATCGGCTTTTATATATAATTTTTTATAAACTATTTATGCATCAACTTGCTTGGGCCATGACTTTGTTGGTTACAGGACAACTCATAACACATGACTCATCCAAACAATTAAACAAAATATCATTAATATTGCAGTTAATCCCACTAGTTACTGCTGAGGTTCTTTGTGCATTTTACTTAGAAATTGGGTGATTTCACCCATGTTTTGGTCAGTTCTTTACACTGTGTGTTCTGTTATGAAAAAAACAACAACATAAAATTACTTAATGTAATGCTATCTGTGGACGCTACAAAAGCTAGTCGGTAACTTGAGGGTTAAAGAGCTTTAGAAGATACTTGAATAGAGTGCTCAGTAGTAACACTCAGAGGACTCTGTGATGGTTATAAGAGTGAAAGTAAATCCCTTAACGTAGATGGTGGGTTGTAGTGTGTTACGTTGCTATAGCCCAGCCGGTCTGATGAGTTCTGATATTGGGAGAAAGGATTCATCGGCACTGGATATAGCAGATATAATGTGTTTGACATATTGTTACATTCTTATTGACTTTCACTCATAAGTGCTTATAACGTCATTTTTACGCATGTTATTTGTTGAGCTATTCATAACAAGAATATAGGACAGAAAGTTCAAACAGAAGTTTGTTGTTAAGTTATATATAGAATTTCTCAAAAAGTTTCTGCTCCTGCCTTACATCTAGAAGAAGACAAATGTATTTGTTTATTTATTTGTAGTTAAGTACAGAGCTACACAATGAGCTATCAGTGCTCTGTCCACCACGAGTATCGAAACACGGTTTCTAGCATTCTAAGTCCGTAGACATACCGCTGTGCCACTGGGGGGAGAGACTAATGTAAGAGATTAACGTTGAAACATTATAAATTGGAAAGTGTTGCTATTCTTTTAAGGGTTTTAAATGTTTAGATGTTTAATTCAAAATCGTATATGAAGATTATCGCCATAGAAACTCTCCATTGCTTAGAAACGTAACTCTAAAAATTTAACACGAAGCGTTATTTAAATTTTCGGTCAATGGAATGGTCAATTAATTCAGAAAGGAAGTAGTCAACATGATACAATCAAGACTTCTGTAATACACACTGTCTATTACATAGACACTCACAAATACCAGTTACCACATGAAGTTTGAATCAGTGTCATGAAATATTTTGCATTAGCTGAAATTACCTTTGAATTTTATTTGTTGTAGATATCCCTTCAACGTAGGACCATCTATTCGTACCATGGCATCACAAAGGCCTTCTTCTCCACCACAGACATATTTATGCAAATCGTGTAGCGCATGCGCAAAGGCATAGGCAGCATCTCGTACAAAATGCAAAGCCGGAGTCTGCGTGTATCCGTTACTCGGTGAGATCCTTTTGTTGGGAGAGCACCAATGTTGATACTTGTTACTCCATGGTGTTTCGTGCAAACCTTGATATTGGCAATGGAAATATTCTTCCCAGAATTCGACAAACCAAGGATTGTCTTTGTTGTTTTCTGGGGTCAGGCTGGTAAAATACTGGTCAAAACCTCTTATAGAACGCACTAAGGGAGAAATGGTTATAGCGCCCTCTAAAATTTCCTCGATATTTTCCACGACACTGTTATGACCGCTCCAGCCATCGCTCCCAATCCATACAAATCGTTTTGTAACCCCTAATCGGTTCGCTGCCATCATTACGTTTCTTGTGGTTTGTTTATCGGCAAATACCACAACAACTAGAAATATAGCATAATAATAATTATCCAAAAAAATCATCTAATAACAGTATAAACTCTGAAAACTGTTAAATACAAAATATTTTATGATTATTTAGTTTGTTTATTAAACATGTTATTTCCAACAAAAGAAATCAACCAGGTTTTTTTTTAAATATATATATAATACCGAGAATTCTTTTTTAGAAAATCCCTTAAATTTAAACTTTGAGTATCGAACGGTATCTGCAATGCTAGACAAAAATACAAACTGAAGTAATGTGTATCCTAAACAAAGTACAAAATTAAAACAAAAGCCTAAAATGTTCTAGATAAACAACAAATGAGCTCCGATTTGAAAATTTATGTTGTATTTAAATGTTCGAAGAACAAAATACTGAAAAGAAATGCAGTGATTCGATTTTAATGTAATAATATTTTTCACAAAATATTTAGTTTCATTATCTTTAGATAAACCTCACCATTCAGCTTCGTGTCCGTTCTTTCTCATTTAAGCTAGAATGAACTTATGTAATTAACTATATTACAATAATATCCTGGCTATACGGGTATTGTGCTGTTAAAATGCACGGACTTTCTTACTAAGTATTATCAGACATTCTTTACAGAATTTCATTCTAATCAATTAAAGTTAATTGATTAGTCCTATAATACGGATATTTAAAATATACTTTTAAAAAAAAAGATAATAAAATAGCATAGGAATGTTCTCTTTCTCTGTGGCTGACTTCAGCATAATGTCAAATTATTTAGCGAATTTTAAATATTCTAGTTATGATTTTTTTTTCAGAAAACGTATTATTGTTTTACAATAAGCCTAAAACAAAGCAAGAACTATTTTTTTTTTATTTTAACCCTCAAGATTCCGATGGACCAATCGGCTTTTTGAACACACATTCAAAAACTATTCATGCACAAAAAGTTGCCAGAGGATCTATGGTTTACAGGGTCTGTAATAACACAACTCATAATCCAAAATGTAAGCAAAAATATCATAAAAGATTAAATTAATCCCTTATCATTATAGTTGACGTCCTTTTGTATTTTTATTTAGAAAATGAGTGAGTTACCCATTTTTTTTATTAGTTCTTTACACTGATGGTTCTAACAAGCGTGAGAATAAAGTCAATTAATATGTATGATATTTATGGTGTTAGTATGAAAACAAGTCGGTTATTTGAGGGTTAAAGGTTAACAATATTACAAAGTGTGTTGTGGCTTACCTCTTGCGTTTGTTTTCTGTCTGAGATTCTGAATAACCGAGTCGTAGTCGTGGTCAGTAAAGTGATCAGTATTGATACTCTGAGGATTTGAAAAACAGATATTGTAGTTTGGTGCCAAGTCTTGTAACTTTTCGTAACCCTTGTTACCATAGTCGGTGTTAGAGTAAACAATTGAAACGTAAGTCCACCGAAACTTCCTAAAAAGATTAAACAAGTCAGTTAATAAGCAAACAACAAGTACCTAATTAAACAGGCCTGCGATGGTTTAACTGTCTTGAAAGTTTTACATGTTTTACAGTAATTCCTGTACGCTGAATGCGAAAATGATATCCATTTTTCTCCATCACGTACAGAATTTTCACAAAACGTCATAACGCAATACATAACAGAAAGACCACAAAACGTAGTTTTGAGACTTAAAGACGTAGATTTCACGAAAAAAATCAGGATGAATTAGGATGCATATTCGTTGGACATCAATGTTCTTCCCTTTTCTTCAGTTTGTTTGTATTTTTGTTAACAAACATAATAATAGAAAATGTTCATTGTGGTAAACGAAATAATAATTTGATCTAAGTAAGAGTTTTTTAATTCACGATTTGTAGAAAATCCTTACGTGATAGAAAAAAATGAATATCATTTTCAAAATCTACGTAGCTGAATTATGGAAAATCCGTTATTAAAACCAAAACAATTATTATGAAGTTGAAATTCGCACGCCTGTGTAATCATTTTTTCAATGGATTCGTTTTTCTCATTGTCTCGTTAGGTTAGATATCAAATAACATAGCTCTTTGTTGATAAGTTAGATAATTATGGACGTTACAGTCGGCCAACTAACTTTTCAATAACCCTGTAAGTTATTTGAACGTTTACATGTTTTCTACGTATATATATTCAACATTTGTTATCGATCCCCTATAATGTTTTGTGTTCTAAGTTACATGTGGACAAAGTCTAGTATTATCTTTAAAACAAGATCACACAATTAACAAATGAAAACAATATTTATGACTTACGTCATATTACACTTTTTCAGACAAATGAATGGTATGATACACCACTACTGACGTCATAAAAAGAGTCAATTTTACATGTTAAATTAATTGCGTTAAATAAAGAGGAAAACTGTCTGAACTAATTAATGCAGGGCTGACTTTTCTTAGCCCGTATAAAAAACTGTCTGAACTAATTAATGCAGGGCTGACTTTTCTTAGCCCGTATAAAAAACTGTCTGAACTAATTAATGCAGGGCTGACTTTTCTTAGCCCGTATAAAAAACTGTCTGAACTAATTAATGCAGGACTGACTTTTCTTAGCCCGTATAAAAAACTGTCTGAACTAATTAATGCAGGACTGACTTTTCTTAGCCCGTATAGACAATCTATTTTTCCGACGAACTCCTTCTGTTCCACCTTTAAATTAGCGATGACAAAGCACTTCATGAAATAAGAAATTATACATACTTCAAGAGACTGTATATTGTTAAAATACTTTATCCTTACAAGTTTTAACAGATTCATGCTCAAATTGTCCACTTCAATATCTCAGTTCCTACCAATATACTGTTAAGGACACTTATATAGGGACTGTTGTGTATTGTTAAAATACTTTATCCTTACAAGTTTTAACAGATTCATGTTCAAATTGTCCACTTCAATATCTCAGTTCCTACCAATATACTGTTAAGGACACTTATATAGGGACTGTTGTATATTGTTAAAATACTCTATCCTTACAAGTTTTAACAGATTCATGTTCAAATTGTCCACTTCAATAACCTAAGTGACTATCAATGTACTGTTAGGGACACTTAAGTTCTAATTAAATAACATGTGACTCCCCTTTATGGATGGATGTTTATTTACATATTTTGTTTTTGTACCTTACATGACACGCCAATTTTACTAATATCAATATTACAGTCAATAACAACTTCAACCAATAAAAATGACAGAAATGACCTGTAGTGCACTGATTAAAAAAACAAAAAAAGGAAGAAGAATTTCTACAAACACAAACAGATGAATAAATAAATAAGTAGATAGACATATAGTATAAAGTAATCAACAGTATAAAATGACGTTAATTCTTAGTACAGGTAATAGAATCACAGGTCATTGTTAAATTCTAACTCAATTATTTTAATATTTTATATTTTAAGAAGCAAAAACACTTCAGAATAATGCATGGTAACCTGAATGTTTATAAAGCTTTCTTTAACTTCTTGTAACTATAACACACATTAGTTGTTGCAGTATTTATATATTTGGTATTCCAGGTTTTACACTATTCAAAGAAAACAAAAACTTTTAATCTAGCCATGGGTACAGATGGCGCTAGTTGTACGCAGCGGTAATAAAACTAGATTGACCAAAACCATTAGCAGATCTATCAGTCAACGGAAATATGAAAAATTTGAATGTTGTTAAAAACTCGTAAGATATCTCATTTGTATGGACGTTCAATCTGGTATTAGTTAGATTTACTTCTCTTGTTAACTAGTATCTAAAGAAACTCTTTAACTTGTCTTATTTCTCCTGGTTCGTTGTCTCTTCCAAGAAAGTCTGAGTTTACTATCCTCACACTCGAAGTTGAAAGAATGAACTGGATCCAACAAATCATAAGGAATTTAAAGTAAAAATAAACTTTAATGTAGCTAAATCACTTTTAAGAAACTAAGATTTAATGTGGTGATTGCTAAGTTAATGTTCTAATACCAGTTGTACACTTGACTGACTACTGACCTGATTTGCCCCCGAACATTATTTATGACATTAAAAATAAAACATGTATTCACTGCACTTCAATAAAGTCTAATTAGAAAATACAAAGGAAGTTTACGAACAGCCAATAACTACAGTGAAAAATAAGAAAACACATCGATCAAACATAACATAAATTATTTTGAAGTATCATAAAAATATTGGTGATGATGATATTAAACATGAAATCAGTATAATGATAATGAACGTGATATAAATTGTGATATTGACACCGAAGATAAGATAAATATTGTGATAATGATAAGAAATATGAAAAGATACTGTAGTAATAATAGTAAACACAAGATGAGTATAGAAATAACGATACTTAACATGAGATAAATATTGTGATAATCAAACTAAACATAAGATTGTGATAATGATTCTAAATACGAGATAAATATAGTAATAATTATAATAAACGTGAAATAAATATTGTGATAATGATACTAAACATGAAATAGATATTGTGATAACGATACTATACGTGAAATATATATAGTGTTAATGATACTTACTATACATGAAATAGATATAGTGTTAATGATACTTACTATACATGAAATAGATATAGTGTTAATGATACTATACGTGAAATATATATAGTGATATTGATACCTACGTGAAACATATATAGAGTGATACTGATACTTACTATACGTGAAATATATATAGTGATATTGATACTTACTATACGTGAAATAAATGTTGTGATAATGATAATATACGTGAAACATATATAGAGTTAATGATAATCATTATCACGTATATATAATGATACTGCTACTAAACATGAAATATATATATATAGTAATAATGATACTATACGTGAAATATATATAGTGATATTGATACTTACTATACGTGAATTATATATATATAGTGATATTGATACTTACTATACGTGAATTATATATATATAGTGATATTGATACTTACTATA